CTTTATTTTACCTTGACCCCAACCCCCTAGGGTAACCAAATTTGACATACTTCCACATCTGAGGCAGATGAGTTGTGTAACAACCGTCTTTGTAACTTATTTCACTTTACCTACCTTGTACCTCCTTACAGAGATATTTCATTCATACTAGATCGTGGGGGATACACGTAGTTGCATGGCGACAACTGCCATTTCTATTTAATATATCACAAACAATTATGGATATTCTTAAGAATTCTTTATTATTAATACATGTGCAAATGGCCATCAGATTTATTATTAGGAATTAAGAAAAAGAAGGGGAGAGAAAATGAAAGAGCAAGAATTAAGAAGTGACTGAGAGAGATTATTATTGCGAGAGATTTATTATGCCTACATCTGCAAATTAATGCCCATCAGATTTATTATTAGGAATTAAGAAAAAGAAGGGGAGAGAAAATGAAAGAGCATGAGATTGAGAGAGAGAGCCAGAGGTAGTGTGCAGATGAGCGAGTGTGTGCGCGTCAATGCATGTGAGTGAGCGACCTAATGTTTATGCGTGCATGTTTGATGCTTGAGTACACTCCAGAGAGAGAGAGAGAGAGAGAGAGAGAGAGAGAGAGAGAGAGAGAGAGAGAGAGAGAGAGAGAGAGAGAGAGAGAGAGAGAGAGAGAGAGAGAGAGAGAGAGAGAGAGAGAGAGAGNAGCCGCTTTTTGGCTTAGGGTTAGGGTTAAGGGTTAGGTTTAGGGTTAGGGTTAGGTTTAGGGTTAGCGATTAGGGTTCTAGGCTCATCTAAACTCTCAAATCCGTGAATTTATTTTCCCAAGGCTTTATTTCGAAATCTTAGCGCCACGCCCGCGCATCTTTGTGGGTCTCGTTTAAGATATGAAAGGCGAATGTTGGACCTCCCGGACCCGTAGCCTCGATAAATTATGATTACGGCTTACCGTACCCGTAGCCACTGGCCTAATTTATAACCTAAATTAGCTGAAAATAACCCTAGAACCTAGAGTAAACTCTCCCTTTAAGCTCAGCTGTGAATCATATTGACCCGGCATATTGGACAATTGCTGTGCTTTCCGAATATTGCGTAGGAAGTAATCATGTTATTCTCACCCAGAACAGCTATTGGATAACAACTACACAAGTACCTGATAGGAAAACTTCATTTCTTTCCATAAGTTACAGTTTCTTGTAGTGTGTCAGTGTGTGAACGTTGTAACGAAGTTCTCGTGTACGAGTGAGTGCTTGCTAATACGCATGCGCATCCAGCGCAGAAAGACATCTGCGCATCCAGCGCATCACAAAATCGAACGCGGTAAACAAATGTGCACCCACTGAACCATAGATAGATATATCATAATATATCGATAATAGATATATATATAGATATTAGAACCATAGATATAGAATAAAGATCTTTATTCTATATCTATGGTATAACTCTCTCACTCGCCCCTCTCTCTCCCTCTTTTTCCCCCTCTCGTCCCCCCCTCTTTTTCGCCTCATTCTCTTTCCCACGTCTCTCTCTCTCGTTTGTGTGTACTCAAACATCAAACATGCACGCATATAAATGATAAAGTGAGTAGGTCGCTCACTCGCACGCACTCTCTGCGTGTGTGTCTCTCTGTCTGCTCTCTCTCTCCTATATAATATCTCTCTCTCTCTCCTCTCTTTTATTTCTTTCATATGCATGCACGTACGCACACATACATATTTCACATGCATACGCATATATATATATGTACGCCCGGACCAGGCGCTGCGGACGGGATGTCTATACAGCTAACCCAAAAAAATAGCGATACCTCGTTCTTGGAGCCTAATATAATATGCTGCCCTCCACTTCACATCGCTCCTTCCCCCCATCTCCCTCTGGCCTCATTCTCTCTTGCCACGTCTCTCTTCTCTCTCTCTCTCTCTCTCTCTCATCTCTCTCTCTCTCTCTCTCTCTCTCTCTCTCTCTCTCTCTCTCTGTCTCTCTCTCTTCTCTCTCTCTCTCTCTCGCTCTCTTCTACGGCTCTCTCTCTCTCTCGCTCCTCCCCTCTCTTCTCTCTCTCTCTCTCTCCTCTGCTCTCTCGTCTCTCTTCTCTGCTCTCTCTCCTCTCTCTCTCTCCTCTGGAGTGTACCTCAGCATCAAACATGCACGCATAAACATTCGGTCGCTCACTCACATGTCATTGCGCGCCACACACTCGCTTCATCTGCAACACTACCTCTGCGCTGCTCTCTCTCAATGCTCATGCTCTTTCATTTTCTCTTCCCTTCATTTTTCTTAATTCCTAATAATATAAGTCCGAGTGGGCATTAATTTGCAGCATGTAGCATAAGTAAAGTCTCTCGCCAATAATAACATCTCTTCTCAGTCACTTCTAATTCTTGCTCTTTCATTTCTCGCCCGTTCTTTTTCATTAATTCCTAATAATAATCTGATGGCCCATTTGCCACATGTCATTAAATAATAAAAGATAATTCTTAAGAAATATCCATATTGTTTGTTGATATATTAAATTAGAAATGCAGTTGGTTCGCCAACTAGTACGTTGTATCTCCCACGATCTATATGAATGAAATATCTCTGTATAAGGAGGTACAAGGTAGGTTAAGTGAAATAAGTTCAAAGACAGAGTTTGTTACACAACTTCATCTGCCTCAGATGCTGGAAGTATGTCAAATTTGGTTACCCTAGGGGGGTTGGGGGTCAAGAGTAAAATAAAGGTCGTAGTCAGTGGCGTAGCCAAGCAAATGGAAATAGGGGGGCGGCCAAGGCGAGGGAGCGAAGGCCGACGAGGGTGTAGGGTGTGGGAGGGGTAATTCCCCTCCCACGGTAGGGAGATTTTTAGAAAATTCAGTGCGCATGAAAATGGCATTTGCTGCAGCACTAAAGTTCCAGTATTAGGGGTAACTTATATGAGAAGTGCGGCATATGCTAATCCCTTATACCCCCCTCCTCGCTTTTTCTTTTGTCACTCCGATCGATCAACGTGGGACGATGGCCCTGGCTGTGGGCGCCGGAAGAACAAGCTCTGAGGTTACACACGACCAGTTGTGGCACCTTAGCTAGACCAGGTGAAAAATGGTGTACCGAAGCCAGTGGTTTCTTTCAGGGATGGAAGAAAAGATTAAGCGACCAAAAGACAGCGCATGAAAGCAATTTCTCAACGGGGAGGGGTGTTTCCCCCCCACCAGTAGGGTAATTTTTGAAAATTATGTGGCATTGCACAATGGCTATTTTGCGCATTTCATTTTCAATTTTAGGTGTAGGTAATAGTGGTATGACCAAATCGCCATCCAGGGCCTTCTCTCTTAATTTTTGGTACTCGCCGATCAAGAGGGGCCCCGGTCATGGCCTCTTGTGCCCCCGCTTAGCTACGCCTATGTCCTCATTCCAGCACTGAACGGAATTTGAAATTAGTTTGATTCTGTCGTTGTTAAGCAGTACCATGCCAATGTTCAATTTATCTCAATAAACTGTTTCAAGTTGCTGCATATAAAAGTTAAAGTTAAGATTAGTTTTTTGAAAAGTAGAGGCATATTGAATGAAATCAAAATAAAGATCTACGGGAAAACAGGTAGATCGTGGTTGGAACCCTGCCACTGAATAAACAATGCAATTTATTTAAATTACAAAAGATTTACATCGTTTAGAATAGCAAAAGCGCTTAAAGATCTGACATTTAACATTTTGTTCGTTAAATAAACATGTTTTTGCTTCCTCTGATGAAGATACTAAAAACCATATGAAATTTGATTTCAATAAAAAACATGGTGCTGCCAAAATGCGCTCTATTAAAATAAAAAAGGAAATTTCCGATTGGAAAAGAATGTTGTTTGCCTCCCTGATAGACAGAACAGTTACCTAAAATAGTGTATTGAAATCGGATTTGAAATAAAAACCGGTAGGTTTCTGCCAAAATGGCCGTATATAAGTTCGATATATCAAAGTTATTCACAACGCCATTTCATTTCTTTCTTCTGGTCAATAAGAGTTTCAGAACCATAAAATTTCAATCAAGCGCAACCTCGCAACAACACAAATCTGAGCAAAAGAAGAAATTATTGCTCCTTTCTTTTAGTCTGTTTTTTGTCTGCCTGCAAAAATCTCAAATCCAAGGGGGCAAGTCTTCTCGTCAATTTTGAGGATTTCGCTTGACATTAATGTCAATTCACTAACTCCTGTTCAACGAAAAGGAGCATGAGAGCAGCAGAATGCGTGGTGTGGTTCATTGTAGAACGAAGTTGTAGACTTGACATGCTCATTTTAGAGAATGGTTCGTTCTAGTACAGGTAGATTAGGAAAAATATCGTTCAAATGTGAAAAAAGTATGAAAATTGAGTTCACTTGCATACTTTTGTTATGGTCTTTCATTTAAAAGCAGGGACACACGCGCATCGCAACTACAACTTCGCGCCCATCTTTGAATGTAAAATGGCGCCGTCATTTCTTAAAAATAGCTATATCTCGTTAATAATCTTTCGGTACAGACTTGAAATTTGACTGACAAGACGTATTGGGTTACTATTTCTACAACAACGTGATGCATGTGATCCAAGGCGTTTCTCGGCCACATCTTAAAGTTCAAATGGCCGCGCTCATTTCTTAAAAAAGCTATATCTTCGTGTAATAATCTTTCCATACAGACTTGAAGAATTTACTGACAGACTAATTTTGGGTTACTATTTCATACAAGCAACGTGATGCATGTGATCCAAGGGCGATTCAAAATGGCCGCGCATAGAAAATTACACAAACTTAGGCACTATTTCCGTTCACTGAAAGATATAGAGACGACGTGAAAATTTGCCGACTGGCGCAGGTATAGATAACCCATCCGGCCAAGTCGACACGTGCCGTATCCAAATACCGCGTTGCGAAACGCTGGAAAAAACACGCATTTTATCGGTGGAGTTTCTAAACACGCATTTTCAAGTGCCGTCTTTCAACGTAGAACGCGAACGTGACAACAAGCAGTTCAAAAACTCACGCGCGCGAGGCACGCACGCACGCACCTAACAGATAGCTATACGCCCGCGCAGAACGCACGCACGCACATAAGCAGATAGCTATTATACGCGCACGAGCCACTCACGCCACTAACAAGAAGCGTATATACGCGCGCCAGCACGCACCGCCATAACCAGGATCCTATATACGGCGCGAGCACGCACGCACATAACAGGTAACCTTTACGCCCGCGAGCACGCACGCACATAACAGATAGCCGATACGCACGCAGATAACAGGTACCTATATGCACGGCGCGCGAGCACGCACGCTACATAACAGATAATCGTATACGCCCGTGAGAACGCACGCCACGCACAAACAGATACCTATATACCGCGCGCGAGCACGCACGCACATAACAGGTACCTTACGCCGCCAGCAGAACGCACCGCACATAACAGAAGCTATATACGCGCGCGGCACGCACGCACATAAACAGGTACTTATCACCGCCGCCGAGTGACGCACGCCACATAACAAAAACTGTATATACGCGCCGCGAGCACGCCCACGCACATACGAGGCTACCTATACGCCCGCAGAGAACGCACATGCAACCGCGCCACATAACAGAATAGTATATACCGCGCCAAGCACGCACGCCGACATAACAGATGGGCTTATACGCGCGCGAGCACGCATGCACGACATAACAGATACCCTAATACCCCGCGAGAACGCACGCACAATAACAGAAGGCTATGATACGCGCCGCGAAGCACGCACGCACATAACAAGGTACTATACGCGCGCGAGAACGCCACGCAACATTAATCAGAAAGCAATATACGCGCCGCGAGCATGGCACGCACATAACAGGTACCTTATACGGCAACGCCGAGAACGCACGCACATAACAAAACGTTATATACGCGCGCGAGCACGCACGCCAACATAACAGGGTACCTATACGCCGCGAGAAACACGCCACGCACGCAACATAACAGAAGCTATATTACGCGCACGAGCACGGCACGCCATAACGAGGGTACCGTATACGCCCGGCGAGAACGCACGCACGCACATAACAGATAGCTATATACGCGCGCGAAGCCACCGCACGCACATAACAGATACTATCGCCCGCGGAAACGCACGCAGCGCAACAGAACAGATAGTCTATATACGCGCGCGAGCGACGCATGCACATAACAGAAGCTATAATACAGGCGCGGAGCACGCATGCCCACTAACAGGTACTATACGCCCGCGAGACGCACGCACGCACATAATCCGTAGCTATATAACGTCAACGACCGACGGCTACCGTACCCGTAGCCACTGTGTTATAATTACGCTACATAAAAAGTTTCATGGTTCAATCACCATTAGAAATATTTTGTAATGTTTTAAAAACTAACGACTACAGTTTGATTACAACGACGGTGGCGCCACTCAAAGTGCACGATCTGATAAGTTGCGCAAAACCACTTTCCAGCCAAGGTCTACAGACCGTAGGTGTTTCTTATTTATTCATTTAAAAGCAAAAGGATTGTAATATCAAACGGCATAGTTTCAGTTATAATATGGATTGGACATCGACGCAACACTCGGCGAGATAACCTTTGACCCGGCATACAGCTACATACCGGCATACCGGCATACAGCTGGTATCCCCCCCACGCACGCACGCCCACTGTAATCAGCAGCAATCTCTAGCGAGCCACACCGCATCGCCGAGCGTTAGTAGCTGCCTTCTGTTTCAAATTAGGCTCTGAACGCATCGAGTTTGCTGGCAACAGAATGGAAAATCGTGTCGTACGTTTTAGTCTGTAATTCCGGATTGCGGGTGTATACGAGGAAACGATTTTGCACGATGCTAGGCGAATGTACTGTGTACGATTTGAGCTCAAGTTGGATGAGTTACGCATAGTAAATCGTAGGTATTATAAGGCTAGTAAATGACGAATTTCCCTTGTTTATTGAAGTCACACTCCTTCCCTATTATCTACTCCTGATGTGTATACATTCACCTCAATCGTTATTCACTTCTTAAAAGATTGTTTTTCAGAAACCCGGCTTCCTTTCACTTCAGTAAATTACACTCGCCATTTACAAACAATCAGACCAATCAGAGCAAGTCTTACAATAGCCTGGTTCTCGCGTGTATCTGTGGCGCTGCAGGAGGGCTGATAGACTCGCTCTGGTTGGTCTGATTGTTTGTAAATGGCAAGTGTAATTTACTAAAGTGAAAGGAAGCAGGGTTTCTGAAAAACAATCTTTTAAGAAGTGAATAACGATTGAAGTGAATGTATAGTATTGTATACACATATCAGTAGCAAGGTAAAGCCATGTAGAAGGGAACGGTAGGTTTTTTTTCGCGCCAATAGTGAATAGCGGCGTACGGGCTGCATTAGCAGTGCATGCATTTTGCATGCAATCTCACAAAATTTCAATGCACCCCGTTCTGTCCCAATAACCCTCACCAAAATATAAAATAAGGTTATATGGGACAGAATTATTCGGTCTAACAGTGACCGTAGCTTGCCACAGCTTGCACGCTTTGGTTAGACTGGTTCACAGCCCAATTGTTTGTGACATGCAGCGCGAGTTTAGCGCCTGAGACCAGTGTATGTCTTGACTAGCATTATTGGTTATTTATGACGTAATCGTAATGTCACGTGTCGATAGAAATGGCTGCGATTGGCTATTTGTAAAGTGTCGCTGGAAATTAGAAACGTTCCTAAATATTTTTGTCGTCGAGGTTGTCGCCGGTCGTTGTCGCGTGTGTGTGCAAGTGCTCATAGGAAACAATAGTTTCTAATTTTCTGAAAAGTCGTTTATATATATCTGCGACAGCCAGCTCGCATTTTGTGGGACGATATTTTTTAGGTATATAGTAGATCGATGTATAATAACATTAAAATTTTATTCAGATAATAGATTAGGAAGTGGCTGGAGGTACGGCAGCCGTCGTTCGTTGAAGCCCCTTTTTGGCATTTTTTGAGGGCTGAGGCAATTAATTGCGATCTTCTGATGTAAAGTTTACAATAATGTTTATTTTCATATAATCCTACCGATATTTCCATAATACCTAATCCGAGTGTTTTCTAGCTCATCAAAACTCAAATCGTGAATTTATTTCCCAAGGCATTATTTCAAAATCTGTCGCCATCCGCTGCCATCTTTGTCTGGTTTGTATGAAAGCGAATGGACTGCCGTACCTCAAGCCTCGTAAATTGGAGATCTATACGGCTGCCGTACCTCCAGCCACTGCCAATTGATTATAGATCTTATATGAGGATTTTATTATAAAACAGTTCCTACATAATGATAGAAACATGGAGATTTAATTTTCACAATTTTCAGAGCTCTGCAAACTTGGGAATTTTATGAATTTTGTAATTAGGGCGTTTTGCTAGGGGTAGTAATTTGGGCGCCGGTATTCGGTATGAAAAATGGCTTGGATTAGGCCCTGACTACATGGGACATGTCTGAGGGCGATGACTTGTACATAATGACGACTTAGGCGGGGCTATTCCAATGGATTTACTATGAGAGAAAAACGGGATTTTGACTTCCATGACGACTTATGCGAATTGACAAATTAGGCGATGACAACTTATGCGAGTTTTACTGTGATACTAGTAGACTGCAGTGCGTGATTATGCATACTCCTCGGCAGTGTATGCTCCTCATACAGCCATGCCCATGGCATCATTCATTCATTGGTTTGTGTATAGTATAGGACGCTTCGCACAGTGTAATTACCTAGATACGAGACGTGGCGAGTTCTTGGATCGATTTTCTCTCACGTAGATGTTACTGGTGACAATACATTGGAGCACCACCAGTATAGCATTGCCACTAGTTAGATGGCTAGTACTAAAACTTAGTGGTATTGGCACTATTGCCACTATTGGTAACATGACGTGCGTTTTCCCTAAACCGTAACCCTGTGGCTGGATCTAGACACATTGCTTTGAAATGCATGGGCCTGGAATGTATGCAGACGTGATGATTTAGTCCGTACACACTGAAATCGTCATTAGTCTGAGGAACAGGTGTTTTTTAAGAAATTATGTCTACTGACTCTACTTTAACCCTGACTGTTGTTGTTGCATATAGTCTATAGCCTTATTGCTAACCTTTGTTACCTGAACTTTACACTCCAGCTTTCCTTGATAATGTTTTAACTGTGTCAGTGTCACGGAAGTTAACTGACCGAGAATTAACTGTGATTCATGCATGCACATTGATTCCAGTTATTTTAGGTCCAGTGTCACTGGGTGTATTATGATGCTAGTTATACAGTGTTTCCCCTGCATTGACACGAGCGAGGCGGGCCGCCTCACTTAAATTCTCAGCCGCCACACAGAAATTCATTCAAAACACCGCTGCGCTGAGGAAAATCTCATACAATGTGTTTAGAATAGCTTAAAATGCACCAAAGTGCACAATTTTTTCAACAATTTTTCGGGGGCATGCCCCCGGCCCCCCTAGCTCATAGCTGGGCGAGCACCTGCAGTGCTGGCTTTGCTAGGACCTAGGACACACCAAAAAAAAATTTACCACCTCACTGACCTTTTTGGCCAGGGGAAACACTGATTATATCAAGAGCGTATTAAGAAGGAGAGCATACAACGGTGAAATGCTGAAACCATGTTGCAGTATTAGTCGAATTAAGAAACTTTGCCCGTTTTATTTTGACGATTCTTTGCGGTATTATTGATCGGCTGTCCTACCTTGCTATCAAAACAAACCGCTTGTCCCTACGATGCCCCTACGCTGAAATAATGAGAGGTGAAAATCTGGTAATTTTGCCGAAAACCGACTCGAGATCCCGGTTGGCTGCGACCCTCTCTCGCTTTGGGATAGCTTCGGGAAACCTCGCGTGTTTCCGTCAATGATTGACAAAAGGAATGATTGACGTCTGTTATTGATTGCCATAGCGATGACCCCCACCTGTGCCCACCTCACGCTGGATGTAGTAAACTCTGTAGTACTCACGTAATGAGTCAGCGCTACCATGGCGCTACACAGCGGCGACCGGAAGCAACATACTGGCCACAAAGCGAGAGAGGGTCGCAGCCAACCGGGATCTCGAGTCGGTTTTCGGAAAAAATACTAGATTTTCACCGCTCATTATCTCAGCGTAGGAGCATCGTAGGGACAAGCGGTTTGTTTTATATTAGTAAGGTGGGACAGCTGATCAATACCACCGCAAAGAATCGTCAAAATAAAAGTGCAAAGTTTTTTAATTCAACTAATACTGCAACATGATCCTTCTTAATACGCTCTTGATTATCCTGATCAGGACCTTTGTCTTCATTAACTCCCGATATACAGATATATATATATATACACATTGAAAGATTTTTTCTAAATCCCTATTCCTAAATGAATTATGTTGCTATTTCCAGTTTTCAAATCTGTTGGGAACTGTGTACCACAGTGGAAACCTCATTTTCACTCCTGATGGAAGCAAAGTAATCAGTCCAGTTGGAAACCGATTGTCAGTTTTTGATCTAAAGAAGTAAGAACCTAGATCTAATACCACGAACAGATGTACACAGAAGGCAGATAAATAAATGCCTGATATGTTTAGAATACCTCGTCTCTTCTCCATATAGAATTTTCCCGTAAAAATGACATGTATATGAAGTATATTAGAAAAATTGATTCTTATATAATTATTATTTCACCTATATTTTACTCATTCACTATTAAATCAGAGCAATTTATGTTATACAGCATGAAACATGTTAAATAAATACACAATATAGTTTGTATAGAAGAGTAATATATTACTCTCACATTCCAGCAACAAGTCGGAGACACTGCCCATTGCAAGTAACCTGTGTATTAAGTGTGTAGCGCAGTCGCCGAATGGAGCAACACTCGTCGCTGTGAATAGTGGTGAGATGTTCTTCTGTAGCAAGTGTAGCAAGTTATATTTACATTGTGACTATATACACATGCTTGGTACCCTGTGTTGTAGCCAGGTCACAGAGTTTCGCTGCCAAGCTGACGTGCAACACAGACATCCAGTTGTTTACTTAGAGTGCGTTTTTTGACTTTTACATAAAATTTAAATGTGCCAGGTGCGTCGTTTTCAGATATGCAAATGGTTTTATAAAAAGGCAAAGGAAGTCACTGAAGCTGTGAAACCCTATGTTGAGAAACTGTGAAAAAGAATAGATGGAAGTATTTTTCTATATTTTCTGCCATTGTTCATTGTCTAGTTGTTCAGGCCCCATAGTGTGTTGGCATTCGTATGTCGTAATGTATAACATTCTAATCGCAGTGTGTGAAAACTAGCACATTTCTTTTGTTGAAATAGTCGTTCGTCGCTACCTATTCGTATTGCTAAAATATGGCATCAACTATTTTCGTCTAATCCTTGGAAGCTAATTTCTGGTAGTGTTCGCTCCCTCCTGTTCTGTTGTGTGCTAAGTTTTATGTTGCTATTGTTTGTTCTTTGGTTTCAGATGGGGAAGCTCTACTGTGCAGCCTTGTTAGTAAAAGCATACTACATCGCTTCTCATTCCATGCACCAGTACATGATGTCAAGTTCAGTCCTGATGGAAGGTAATGATTAATATTCCAGGTGGCTGGAATTAGCATGTCCGGAGTCAAATATTTGTGTTTTACAATCAGACTCCCTGATTTGATATTGTTAGCAGTCCGTGTGACTCTCTGAAAATTCGTTCTGCTCAAGACATCCGTCAAAAACACGGGTGATGCGGTGAAGCTTTCAGCTTATGAATGTAATATTCTGCAGTAAGGCATGCCATAATTTGTGTCTTTATGGCAGTTGGTATGAATTGTGTTGTGCATAATTTTCATTTTTACTTCCGTTCTTCATGATGTGAACTCACTCTTTTTATGACTATGGAGCCTGTTGAACTCTACTGATTAAAAGGAAATTTCTACCCTAGCTACTATTAATATTACAAGCCTGAACGAAATACGCCTATCTTTCAAAGTTAGTAATGACTATGGGTAGAAGTGGGCTATCATAGGCAATGTTATTCTCACGGTGTTTCTTTTTATCGGTTCTTAGGCAATTTGCCGTGACGAAGGATTCACTCATACAGGTGTTTCATGCACCCGGACCATACACAAATGAGGTCAATCCGTTTGCTTTGTATCGCACCTTTTACGGAGCGTACGATGCAACAACCTGCATCGACTGGACAACGGACTCGAGGTTTGATTCAAATATTCTAACTGCTATCCACCAGTCCACAACAAATTTTATAGAAGGAATAAATTTGATTTGCTCTTTACATGTACGGTCCAACATGTATGCGCGCATCACTCAACAAGAGCCCCCAAAATGATTATTTTAGACAAGTGTCAGGTTTATAGGGTGGTTTCAATGTATAACTACCACTCAAGGGAAACACTGCATAACTTTGTAGACTGGTGTATGTTCTACACAGCTGGGTTCTTTGTATAACTGTGACTTAAGTGAAGTACTAAAAGTGCTGTTTATAGGCAGATGCACGTTCTACGGAGGTGGTTTCACTGTGTAACTGTCACTGAGGGGAAATGCAAAAAGTGCATGATGTGTTTTTACCTTTTAACTACAACTCGAGGAATGGGCAAAAGGTGTCTTTTATAGACAGCTGTCCATTCTGTAGAGGTGTCCGGTCTAACACAAGTTTGAATGTACCTGCATTGATATATGAGTCATTGAATCTGAGTATCTAATGTATTATCTAGGGTGTTTGCAGCAGGAGGGAATGATATGAATACTAGAGTTCATGCAGCCAGACATTTCTCGAACCTCGTTGTCTATGGCCTAGGTGGACACAGTGATGCTATGGTTGGTTGCTTCTTTGAAGAAAATTCTCTGGATGTATCCTTTCAATTCTAAGTCTGTCATTTTAAATTTGGTCATTACCATAGTATCAGCTAATGCAGGAAAGTGTCGATGGCACGAAGGGAACATGCACTTGAAATGTTTTTATTTATAGACTATGGCATCGTGCATTATGGTAATTACCAAGAATAATGGCAACTATACCTCGTATATGAAGTGCTTTACTGGGCGAAGATATAACATGTTGGCGAGGCCCTACGCTGTTTACGGTGAGCCAGAAGAGAAAAATCATGTATTTTATTCTCACCTGATGTAAAAAATGGATTATACTTCGTTGTGTGCTTGGCAGCATGTTCTTGCGTATATCCACGTATGATATAATCCACGTGTGCATGGACACGTAGGCACACGCATAAATAATCATGCGCATACACACATGCACATAGTATGACAATTACAAATCTGTTGAAACATGGCTGTATTGAGCTTATTGAGTTGCTTAATGGCACGTACCAGCTTCACACTGTTAGTCGGAATGGACAGGTCATTGTCTGGAAGTGTGATACTGAGCTCACTGGTCTCATACCCTGTAAACCCGCACGCGAGGAGCTAGACACAGCTGAGGAGAACACGAGCACAGGTGTCACGGACGCAGCTGCCAATGAAGGTATTTGTTATATGTTTCACTCCAACCATTGATGTAGCTAGTTTATCGCATGAGTGCAAAAAATTCCTTGTGAATGTTTTTACAAACATGAGAAACTGTTAGGGGAATCTACAACCACATATCTGCGAAGGAGCACAGTTTCAGTATCCTAAACGTTGCATGTAATTTTGTTGTCAGGGTAGGAAAGACCGTTTTAATACTCGTCAGTACATTTCATAATTTGTACGGCATTTACTAGTTATATTCAAGCGCAATTTGTTATCATGTTGCGGTGATGCACACAGAGGATTATAATGTGTCATTTAAATACGTTTCCATACCTTACTATAAGTTCTTGCCCTGCTTTCAGATGCGCAGACAAGAAAAGCTCGTGAAGAAGCGAAAACAGAGACGAAACAAGTGCTGTACCGTCGTTATGCTAAGTAAGTTCATCACATCGCAACGAGTCGCTGTAATGCATTCTGGTGTGCAGTAACGCTGCCCAGCATTTCTCCGGTATGTATAGGTACATGTGGGAAAGCTGGCAATTGCTGTGGATATATTTGTTTTGTTTTTAATTTGTACATTTTAAAGCAAGGATTTCAAACAGTCTTCCTGACCCTTCTCGTATTTTTTTCTGACCACTAACTATGGTACGTACTGGTATTGCTTACATAACAGTAAGTGTATAAAATAAGCTCTTAGAGCACGTACACCGTTATTTTTACTAAAAAGATACAACGATTGAAATCTGTTTGTTTACATCATGTTGACGTAGTTACTTGATGATGCCGCTTTTTCCTCGCGAGACCCTGTCCCTGTACTTTGACATGGTATTGGTAACTTGAATTAAGCAATAGGAATGCAGGGCATGAAATTAAGATTTTTTTGCACCGGCCCAGATGGCTGGTAACAGCAATTTTTTTACCAGCCCTCACAAATTTTGTTTGAAAATCAATGTCATGTTTCACGATTGCATTCTCGATTTCAAATTTGTAAAATGTTGATAAATTATGGGGTGATATCCTTCAGGTAAAACAGTAATATAGGCTATTTGCTCATTAATTCTATAAATAAAAAATGTAGGTACTCGCTAACACGGCTGAAACTGTGCAAAAATGTAGCTGCATTGTTTGCTATTTTATATAGTATAACAGTATAAACTCATAGTAATTTTTATACTGGAGTAATTAGTAACATGTTTGCTATTAGGTGAGACTATATTTCACCGTATTTTTGTCGATTGTGCAGTTATTTATGAGGTAATTGCTTTAAAAAGTCAGCAATTTCAGGTACGTGTGATTTTGATGGTGATGATGATAATGTGCAATGACAGTGTATTTATACGCGTGTAATTCAGCAGTGCACGCGTGCTTGTATTATAATATATAATGTGCATAAGATGGGTAATATACATGCATAAATATATCTTGTCTTGTCATATCCTTGCAGGCATTCCTACAAGGACCTGAGAGGGGGAGGATATGTGCCACTGACGTGTGCAGCCTACCACAAGAAAACGCACATATTAGTCTCCTGCTTTTCCAACGGCTCATTTTTCATACACGAAATGCCTGATTTCAATCTCATTCATTCACTCAGGTAATACAGTAATAATTGTAAAGGCGTTTTGACTTCTTCCATGTTACACAAGCGAGGTATTGTCCATGGGAGGTCAGTTAACTGTACTTATCACAGTAATTACTATATTGGCAGAATACGTTAATGTTGTCGTGAGGTCTCCAGAGTAATGGAAATGTATATGCTAAAATGTAGAATTACCTGAAGAAGTATGGCCTTGATGGGCTAACATTTTTGTAAACATTTGATAAACAATCACCATGGGCACATGCATTGAGACTATTTGCATGATTTATTGGTTGTTTATTACTGGTGCTATCACGAGATGCATCGAGATCAGAGAAAACTGAAACTATTTCTAAAAACTACTAACTCTTAAAAATGGTGTCACAACATCACTGCAAACAAAGTTTATTGTTTGTGTCTATCGATAGTTGCTGAAAACCTTTGCAAGATAGGAAAGGTAAATTCAGTAGCTTCATCGAAGTATCTGCACGTATCTGCAATCTAAATGAATAAAGCGTACTCGCTAAATTAATGGTTTCAAAGTGACAGTGGCGTTTTTGTCGCTCTGCAGCGTATCCGACCAGAAGATTGCCTCTGTTGACATCAATGTTATGGGCGACTGGCTTGCGTTTGGCTGCTCTGGTCTTGGTCAGCTGCTCGTGTGGGAGTGGCAGAGCGAGTCGTACATCCTGAAGCAAGAAGGTCACTTCAACAACATGAACTCGCTTGCGTATTCGCCGGACGGTGCCAGCATCGTCACCGGCGGACAGGACGGAAAGGTGAGGTAGCTGGTGACACGTACTCCCATTGATCTAACTGCCCTGTCATCATGATAGAATGTATGTGATCCAAATCTATTTTTGCGTACTCCCCAATAAGTATATAGCGCTCATATCAGACACTCTCGGGTGCATAGACACATACACACACACTTGTACATTGCCAGAAGGCAGAAAAACTAGTCTGCTAATATAGAAATTTCATTTAGTTTGTGTAATAATTCTCAGTATATATATCTAGAAATACATGTATGTTACTGCAGTAGACAAAAACTGGTTGGTTATAAATTACCACTGACCAAGGAATAGCAATTGCTAGAAGAGAGAGATACTGAGCTATGCGAGGTGACACTGCGCATTTGACAAACGTTGGCTTGCAGGTGAAAGTGTGGAGCACCAGCAGTGGATTCTGTACGGTGACATTTACCGAGCACACGTCTGGTGTCACGTGTGTCACATTCAACCAAAATGGACAGGTGGCGCTGTCTGCCTCCCTCGATGGCACTGTGCGTGCCTACGATCTCTACAGGTAGTGTTCAACTCTAAAGCAATAGTCTGAATTCCCTCTGTTTCGTTACTGGGTTAGATATTTCGTATATGCCAATCAAACGCTCACCGTCGTGTGACAATTGCATACCTTGGAAAAGAACGACTGAGTTCTCCGTGAAATTTAAACATTGAAGGGTGGACACTGCGTCATTGTCATATGTGCATACGATTTGTACGAACATGAATGTTGACGAGGCAAGCACTACAAAGCTTGCTGCCACAAGTTTTAATTGCGCAAATTTGATTGCAAAAAAGTAAATGGGAATTATTACCATAAACAGAGTATTTGCAAGTAAAAAAGACGCAATGAATAGCGTTAACTGAAATGTTAACGATAAGTGACATTTTCGTGTGAAATGCTTGGATTTGTAGGTATCGAAACTTTCGAACGTTCACGTCTCCGCATGCTGTCAAGTTCTCCAGCCTGGCCATCGACCACAGCGGCGAAATCGTGTGTGCCGGCGGCCATGACACATTCGAGATCTTTGTCTGGTCCATGCAGAACGGACGGTTGCTTGACGTAAGCATCTGAAATAAGCGGGCGTTTGCCGGCATGCATGCATTGTAAAATAATGCCTGGTAACCATCCTTGATTAAGTTGCGAGTTTATCGCAACATTATGAGCACATGAATGTAGTGGAGGCACGTTTGTTATATATACCCATAACAGAATTTCTGCAATCTATGTTTATAGATTCTGACTGGCCATCAAGGACCTATCAGCAGTCTTTGCTTCTCCAAGGCACGTGCCATGCTAGCTAGTGCGTCGTGGGATAAAACGATGCGACTATGGGATATCTTTGAGAGCAAAGGTGGCCGAGAGGCCATCGATCTTACTTCGGACGGTGAGCTACATAGAGCTGTGACCGTCCCATAGCAATATATCAAGAGTACATAATATGTCTATTATGTACTCTTGAATATATACATAAGTCTCGTAATTTCCCATGTATATTGTGTAATCTTCATTTTTAGCTCTCCTCGACATCGTCAAGATGAGCTATTGCCATGGGGTGTCGTCCGTCGTACCTCCGTCCGTCCGTCAACATTTGGCTACGGTCAACGATAACTCAAGAACCGTTTGACCTACATGTTTCAAATTGCATATAGTTGTTACTCCTATGGGAGAGGTTTGAACGTCCTATTTTGGAGCACGCCAGTCGACCTACATTCGAACCACGTCCACTTTTTGGCAAAAATGGAAATGGCCATAAGTCAGTTCAGGTTCAATGGATTTTGCTCATTTCTGGTATGCGAATGAATGAGGACTGGCCCCAAAACATATCACACAGGTTTTTATTTTTTTATTTTATTTTGCAAATGAGGTAGATTTTGGCAATTTCACTATGCATTTCAGTGTCTGCCTGTACGGTCAACGATAACTCGAGAACCGTTTAACCCACATGTTTCAAATTACATGCAGTTAATTGTTACGTACTCCTATGGGAGAGGTTTGAACGTCCTATTTTGGAGCACGCCAGTCGACCTACATTCGAACCACGTCCACTTTTGGGCAAAAATGGAAATGGCCATAAGTCAGTTCAGGTTCAATGGATTTTGCTCATTTCTGGTATGCGAATGAATGAGGACTGGCCCCAAAACATATCACACAGGTTTTTATTTTTTTATTTTATTTTGCAAATTAGGTAGATTTTGGCAATTTCACTATGCATTTCAGTGTCTGCCTGTACGGTCAACGATAACTCAAGAACCGTTTAACCCACATGTTTCAAATTACATGCAGTTAATTGTTACGTACTCCTATGGGAGAGGTTTGAACGTCCTATTTTGGAGCATGCCAGTCGACCTGCTTTTGAGCCACGCCCACTTTTTGGCAAAAATGAAAATGGCCATCTAAATTAATTCGATTTTGTTAAATTTTGGTATGTGAATGTGTTAGGCTAGCCCCAAAACAGTTGTTACTTTACGTCCTATTACGTTTATTTCGTCTAACTGGTTAACAACTCTACAATCATACCTATATACGTGTAATATTGTGTTTTAGATGCTTTGTTACAGTAATTTGATTTGAATTTGATTGTTTTTATTTGTGAGATATTCGAAAACCAAAATGGTGATTATTTAGGCATAGCGCCATCTCTCGTCAAGATTTCAAACTCAGATCTGAAACATTTATTTTCACATCAAAACTTATGCATATATCATTATTAAGAGTATATAATGGGAGATATGCTATATAATGGGAGTTCTCCCATATATACTCTTGCTATATATATCCCCCCTCCCTCTTCTATCACACCCAAGGTGAGCTACAGTGTCATTGACACTTTCATTTTTTATTTGATGTAAGCCCTCTTGAAAATTTGATGATATCCACAGCAATAAACCACCCTGTTGCTCTATTTGGTTGACCGCCATGCCCTTTCCATAACCGTTAGTTATTCCTTGTTGAGTAGATATCCATCCCTCCTTGTTCTCTTAAAAAGTGTTAATAATAAGTGAGTGGCCAAGATTTCCAATTTGCCAAGAAAAGTTACAGGCAGGAAAACAATCTGTTCCTCTTCCTACATTTCGTCACTGGCACACGTAGAGTGGAGTGATGCTTACTGACAGGGAAGGAATCTAATCTTTTCCTTACATTTGGTTGCTGGTACACGTGCAGTAGTATGGTTGCTGGTACACAGAGTAGCATGGTTTCTGCTGTAACACTCGGTGGCTTCTGCTTTTAGCAATGGCCATCGCGTTCCGTCATGATGGACAGGAAATTGCTGTGGTGACCATCGACTGTCAGATATCGTTCTGGGACGCCGTCTATAGCACAGCGCTCGGCTCGATCGAAGGTCGACGCGACCTTGGGGGTGGCCGCCGTGAAACAGACAAGGTCACGGCGAAGAAGTCTCGGGAGGGAAGGTGTGTGTGTGTGTGTGTGTGTGTGTGTGCGTGCGTGCGTGTGTCCGTGCGTGCGTGCATGTGTGTGTGTGTGTGTGTGTATGCATGCATGCATGTGTGCATATGAGCGTGCGTGCGTGTGTGTGTGTGCATAATATTAGGTATCGCTTAATTGTCTGTCATAACCTGACCTGTGTCGTTGAAATCGTACCAACTGAAGGAGTTCAATTGTTTTCCTCTGCTACTGGTTGAATACACATCAATTCTGCATTATGTATGTGATCAGGTCTACGCGAAGATGGAAGAGTGGTTGCCAGATTCTACCTAGCTAGGATCTATATATTCTTACCTACTAACCACCGTGTAACCATTAAGTTACAGCATTAACGTGCTGTGTTCGATTAATGTGAGTAGAGTGTGATTTGCACGACGTAGGCTAATTGCCAGCGTGTCTGCACTTTAAGGACATTCGTGACGCTCTGCTACTCTCCTGACGGGGAGTGCATCATCGCTGCGGGACAGTCGAAGAACGTCTGCATCTACAGCGTCAGAGAGAAAGTGCTGATCAAGAAGTTTGAGATCACGCGAAACATGTCATTCGACGGAGCGAGGGTAACACTCCTGTGTGGCAGATGCTAGTTACATCAGGCTGAACCACGTAGACCTTCTAGCATCACCCATTGTGTGGATTCAGACCAGATTTAGATCTAGATCTTTTTACCTGTAAACAGCCAGTATCACATCCATCTTGATGAAGCTCTAATCACGGGAAAGATGATTCTGATTGATCATGAGCTAGCCATGATCAAGTGACAATTGCATGTTTTAGAAGTGACCTCTAGATGGATTCACGCTTTGCGAATTTCATTGAGAGATGTTTTGATCTTAGTTAAGGATGTTGTATTTACGTCTATGTCAATGTATTATATAGTGCACAAATTTGGGTATTGTGTGACTGTATACCGCTATCACGTCAATAATGTATCGTAATGTGCGATGAGTGCGAAGCTGCTCGAATACATGACGATTTTTCAGGAATTTCTGGATGCACGAAAGATGACTGAATTTGGCAACATCAACTTAATAGAGGAGGAGGATGATGGAGGCTTTACCTCGATAGCACTGCCTGGCGTGCAGAAGGGAGACATGGCAGCACGAAGATTAAGGCCGGACATCAGGGTGTCTTGTGTACAGTTCTCACCTACCGGTAAATATCAGCTGAAGCTTACTGCATGCTTCTCTACCTCTTCCTTTCCCTCCGTCATTTCCTTCCTCTCCCACTCCCTCTTTATTTCTGCCTCTCTCTCTGTCTCTCTCTCTCTCTCTCTCTCTCTCTCTCTCTCTCTCTCTCTCTCGTCTCTCTCTCTTTCCCTCTCCTTCTCTTCTGTTCCTCCTCCCACTCCCTGCCCTCTCTCTCTCTCTCTCTCTCTCTCTCTCTCTTCTCTCTCTATATATTATATATATATATATATATATATATAATATTTTAACATAGGAATAGGATGTCTTATAGGAAATGATAATTACAAACTCGAAGCAAACTATGTGTGACATATGTTATTGTACATTCAGGGCGAGCATGGGCAGCGACTACTACAGAAGGCCTCCTCGTCTTCTCCACTGACGCCAACCTTGTTTTTGATCCATTCGAACTGGGTGTTGAGGTTTGTCTACGTGTTTATCTGTAATGCATAGAAGCACAAGTTTCTCAGTCTATGTTACTGAATATAAAGTTGCATACTACTATGCCCTGCTGTTGTCACGCGCATCTTGTTTCGCAGTGATATATCCACAAGATTGAGGCGATCAATTAAGGAATCTATCGTGAACAGTTTAATTCAAATGTGTAGCAACATTGTACATCCAATAAAATTTCACATTTTTACCCAATTAGAGAAAATAGCACACTTCTGTTAAACCTGTTCAGGGGCCTCCTCTATAGAACAGCCATCTATACATAAAGGCAACTTTTGTACACTATTACCAATCACATTATTCACGTGACACAATCGGTCCACATTCCTAAGCTGTAATCATGCTATAAGTACATATTTCATAGTCACAGTTACAAATTTTCCTAAAGAATTGTGTACAAATTCCATATATGTTCCGTAAAAGGAATCGGAGATGATTTTGTAGAAATTCGTCGCTCAAACTCATTATTCTGAGCTCGTGGGAAGGTGATCCTCATCTAGTGATATCTTCTCTTACAGGTAACACAGGGGAGCGTAAGGAAGACCCTGCAGCGTAAGGAATACAGTCTGGCACTGATACTCGCGTTTCGATTGAACGAGCAATCTCTGATACGTCAGGTCATAGAATGCACACCGTACAACTCGGGTATGCATTGTCGTTGCTAGGATATTGTCACCTGTTTCGCTCACGAAATGTTGTGTCCGTTTCAAACCCTTCCTGATTATCCTTGTGCATGTGGCATGCTCATGCTGGTTTGAGAATTGTGCGTTTAATTGGTGCAGACGACCATTGATACCATCTTAGAAAAAAGCTAATATTTGAATTAGTAATGTCTGATTTGCTTGCTCGTATAGACACATGCATGCTACATATTAATATATCTGGGAAATGACCGTACATCATTATTAGGTACATTAGTCGAGATAGCGATAAATTTGGTTAAAGTTCCAGTTTTTCATTTTTGTTACTCAAGTCTTGTGTGGGCTATGTTGTTTCAAACAGGATTTTTAGTGACTTTTTCTTACGTGAAATATGCTGTGAACGTATATATGCAAGACTGCCACTGTCATCACAGTATCACTGTGGTTTGACTGACAAGTCACTTCAAGTCGCGTTTAATCGTCGCGTTTTAATCTAATTGTATTGCCGGTTACCTTAGTGGAGCACATAGCGCGGGCGCTGCCAGACGACTACGTGGAGCGGACGCTGCGGCACGTCGCCGTGGCGATGGAGGCGTCGCCGCACGTGCAGCTGTATGCATTGTGGACGCACGCACTGCTGTACACGCACGGTGAGCGACTCAAGTCCCGCGCGAGCGCGCTGATGCCGCTACTCGCTACACTACAGAAGAGTCTCACGCACCGCTATACAGACCTCAATAAGATGTGAGTGCCCCTGCACATGCTGAAGAAGTTTTATTTATTTATTTACTATTATTATTATTATTTATTGGTTAATATTTTTTTGTTTTATTTAATTTTTTATTTAATTAATGACTTTACATTAGGTAAACTGAGAACATGCATGCTTAACCCGCAGTGTAGTAAAAAGTGCTAGTTTAAACAAATGACAGGTGACAACACTATAGGAGCAGCTAAAAGTGGTGAAAATATAAATATATTAAGGACGAAAAAGATGAAAAGTAATACTAATAGTAGTCAGTTGACTGTTTACAATTGTGAACGTTATTATCAAAAATGTACATTGTTAACATTATCACGTGTTCATTGAAAGGACAAGGGCCATTGTTTGATTTGTGTCTTTCCAGCCAAATTGGGAAATTCAACGTTTTACTTTGTACCGTTTTGGAGTAAAGGCAGAAGAAAGAAAAACTACACACACTGGCATTGTTTAATATAGTTTAGTAACATAAACTTAAATTTTGATGACAGTGAAAGGCTCTAAACACAAACATATGCACCGTATTGACCTTGATTTCAACTAGCCGGGGTGGAAATTTTTAATGGATTTCTCTGGAAATTATAGGCTTTGCCGGACTACAGATTAATATAGAGTTTAGTCAGCATATCACACCCTGGCACTATTTTTGCCAGCGCTACTTAGTCACCTGACTTCTTAAAGATCCAAAGTTAGATTTTGGTCGGCACGGTTGTCCCTTTTGCGGTGTTAACAAGGCGAAAATTGTGAATGCTGGGTAAGAATCGCATTATGGAGCTAGCTCAGTCGCTGTGGCACGCGGTAGCTCTAGATCTATCAGCCTCATGTTCTCGTCGCAGTCTCACGTTTGTTAACAGTTCTCACTCCGTCCTCTTCTAGATGCGACTCAAACAAGTACACGATTCAGTATCTGCTAGCACAGGCCGAGGCCTGCAAGAGAAGGAGGACCGGCAACGACAGCGAGGCAAGCGGTTCGCCGGATGACGACGACGCCGATGACGTTGATGGAATTGGCAGCTCGTGACATCATCAGTGAAGCAGCAATGAAGGAGCACGATGCGAATTCACCCGTGACAGAATTCAAAACTCACCTATTTTAAAGACAATATTATTGGTAATGAAGTACCAAAAACCGGACAGGTTGTTTAAATTGGTCTAGTTTGACTCGTCTAGCAATATGCAAGGGGAAAGATGTGGTTATCTCACCCGTATGATCGAATAGGTCAATTGTAGCAAACTACCTGCAAGTGTGTTTTGCGTTTTCATCCTGTTATGCCACGTGTTTGGAGATTCCTCGGAGTCGGCAGTTTGTTGAAACATTCAGACGCCTAGATGTTCATTTAAGTCGTTTCTGATGTGAAATATAAGCAATCATGGAAATGCACGATAAAGAAATAATACCAAAGGTGAAATACGTTGCTTTGTGTATGTCAGAAAATCACAATTCATTCAAATTAATCAGACTGCCATCTTAAATATGCATTGAGAAAGCACTGAGTTATTGACAAAACTAAATTGGAAATCTTATTTATTGACGATCAGGGAATATTGATGAGTCTGGGTCTCCTCACTGTCCCTCTAAATCTCGTTTTTGTGCACCCGATTATAGACGATTTTATCGTATGGAAGGTTCTGCCTTCAACTATCTGCATATGCACAGACTAGGTAAATTTGAAGGTTATATTTTTGTATAAAAAAAACTACACAAAAAAACCGAGTGGTTATGGCATTTCAGTGGAGTTCAATTTGATTTGACTGCCATTTTTCGTCACAAAATAGAGATATTATGTACATTTGTAGTACGAGCAGTATTGCCAAGTGTTGCAAGGAAGGTTGCATAATAAATTAATCTGTTTCCGATTCTTAAGTGTTGTAAGGTTGGAGTCTTTCTTTAGAATCATATCACTGCAATGAAACCGTTAATATGCATCACAACAATTGATGAAAACGTAAAACGGCTTTATTAGCGCAAACTATTTTGAAAACTACAAACTGACATGAATCTAGGCTAAAAGCAACAGAATGCGAACAGAAGGTATTGAGGGGGAGAGACAGAAAGAGAAAAGAGGGAAGAAGCAAGAGCTCTGGAGAGAGCAAGTGAGAGGGATAGTGTGTAAGAGAGGAAGGGAAGTAGAGCATGTGAGGAAGATAGAAGGGAGGAACAGCATGAGAGAGATAGAAGTAAGGAACAGCATGAGAGAGATAGAAGTAAGGAACAGCATGAGAGAGATAGAAGTAAGGAACAGCATGAGAGAGATAGAAGTAAGGAACAGCGTGTCAACGAGATAGAAAGGAGAGGCAGCATGTGAGAGAGGAAGGGAGGACGAGCATGTGAAAGAGTGGGGAAGGGAGGACGAGGGTGCAAGAGAAGTGTAAGGGAGGTACAGGATGTTAGGGAGGAGTAAGGTGAACACTATGTGAGAGACGGGAGAGTGAGGACGAATATGTAAGAGAGGGGGAGGGGAAGGATGAGTGAACAGTAAAATGTGCAGATACGACACCTATGACTTGACAGAGTTTGGGACATGGAATGTTGGTTATATATGACTTGGGCAGTCACAGTTGTGGCGTTTTTACAGAAGTTCCGCTAAGTCTCGCATCTACAAGGTATATGGGTTTATCCATTGTATTGTTGAATGAATAATTGGTACTATACTGGATACTGAGCTCAACATTTCTTGAAAATAATTGGAAGGCCACACAAAACAGAAAAATAATATCGCATACTTTTCTTAATTACACAAATACGACGTGTAACGCGACATGAGAAAAACTATTGTAGAGTATCTGAAACGTGTGACTGTCTATATAGTGCAACCACTAGCAACAACAACTTTAGGTGCCTAGTTGTGACAAAAGTGACGCCTCAGGCAATAGAACACAAATTATATACAGAAATATAGCAAAACTTGTCTCTATGTGAGATCTGCCTGCGTGAGTGAATGAGTACCGACTTGACTAGGACTACTGACTTCATGGCCATAAAATTGACTGTTATGACTTTTCTCTGTGTGATAGAGCTGTTGGATTAGGGACACAAAAATCCACAAACACCTACCGGGCGTATCACGTACAGGTCTCATAACACGACCATGCAATATTGTGCAGAGGATTTCATAGTAACATAGGTTCACAAATAATACCTAGCATGGACACACATTATATATAATTATACACACACACACGCACAACGCAAGCACGCACGCACGCACGCACGCACGCACACAATATCCTTGGAGTAATCATTCTGACTGTCAGAATGATTACTCCAAGATATATCCAAGTCTCGCGGGGCAGACGTATAATCTTGCAACGAAAAACTCAAAACGTCAACAGATGCGGAGAAAGCGAGAAATAATCGCGCATCTACGACGTAACTACGATATAACACCTGCTGACACAATGAAACGCCTATTCTACTCTCAGGTTCACATTTGATTGTCACTGTCACTGAAATTGGAGTATAATTAATTAATGACAAGTTGAGCAGGCCCACGATGGGTGAAATGCAGATTATTCACCGGCAAGGAAATTACTGTTTTCAGTATCCATCGTGGATACGAGTGCTACAACATTGTAAAGCCTTTATGTAAGAATTTATGTATGAAGCTTTATTTAGCTGACATCGGGGTACATGTTCTTATTTCAGTGCCAGTGGTGCAGCAAATGCGTGGTTTTATGAATTCTAAAGCCCTAAACACTTGTCGGCAGGATATATGGATGACCTCGTGCTTTTGTTGAATAGTCAAACCTGATATCCAAGGTGTAATAAGTGTATTATTACGAGTAATCTGCTCGATATGTATCACCTTTTATGAATATGTACAGAAAAATAATAGCCAAATCATCGTTTGGGTGAACCGCCATTGTAGCTGCATTTAAAATTAAATGTGCTTCAATTACAATGTATATTTAGATTTGCAACAGCTTGATGATGGAATGTTAGATTTAGGCTTGAAACAAACGTTGCAAATCAAATCAGTTCACACACCACTGAGAACAAGGTGAATATGAGAGGTGAGCAATATTCTAACTGCACATAAAAGAAGATAAATATTAATTTTAACCTAAAACAGTCTTAAACACTAGTTACCAAGATACAAACTTATGTAATGCAATTGCAATTTTTATCATATAAGAAAATTAATTTCGAGATAAATCGAAAACATTTAGTCAAGTGGCAGTTTGATTGACAGTAAATAATTTAGAATACCTCGAAATTAAAAAAATTATATAATAAAACAAACTCTCAGTCAAAGGCATATCTTTGTAACGTTATATAACAATAAATGGTGAAATGAATCAACTATATATGGAGTGATAAGGGTTCCCCGAACTATAATATTCCTTTTGCTATAAAAGCAGGAAAAGGCAGTTAAAACTGTGTTTTGCAGACAACCTTCATCCTTCATTCATGCGTCCATGAAAAATTGTGCACTGCTCAGGAAAGCTCATGTGGTGAGCATGCTTGGGAATGAGTATACGAAGTTATGACAAATTATATATAAATATATCGCAAGAGTGTCATCACGTGCGAACATACAATACAACAGTAAATATACTCTAATATAAACTCGTCTTCTTCATTATTCTCAAGAATTCCTCCTCGTTGATCTCCCCGTCGTTGTCTCTATCTGCTTCATCTATCATTTCCTGCAAAACAACAAAATGATATCATGTCCACTTACACACATAGCAAGTATGTAGAGAGACAGATACGAAAGCAACAGGAAAAGCTAGAGCGTGAGAGAGAGGAAAGAGAGCAAGAGAGAAAGAGAGATAGAGAGAGAGAGAGAGAGAGAGAGAGAGAGAGAGAGAGAGAGAGAGAGAGAGAGATCGATAGATGGATATAGAGAGAGAATACAAAATATGAGACAGTCAATGATCTTGGTAAATGAAATTGCACTTATATTGCACCTGGTATTGAAAAAAGTGTAAAAAAGACAATTTTATCAAATACCTGCAATTCTTCCTCAGTGAGGTTTTCTCCTAATTCTTTTGCAACCCTCTTTAGATTTTTAAAAGATATCTTTCCAGTTTCATCATCATCAAAGAGTTTGAATGCCTTTAATATTTCTTCTTTTGAATCCTTCTCTGCCATCTTGTTAGCCATTATTGTTAGAAAATCATTGAAGTCTATGGTGCCTGCAAATACATATTAGATGCAATGTTAGTCAGTACAGTTGTCCCTGCTTTATCAGGCGCCAGGTAAACAGATGCATTTCTTACAGGATGGCTCATGCAAATTGTTGTGTTCACAACTTAATTGGGACCATCTACCGCTTAATAGGGACATTTACACAGTTCATGACCTGTGTCAATAAAGCTGGGACCACGTACTGTATATCATCACTTCCCTGTTATGTAAAACTCCAGATCACTTGTGAAATGGGATATAGACACACACTAAACAGTAAACGCATACTATAAACCTGCATAAAAGAAGTTTTTCTTTAAAAATCTTTACGAGGCATCGATTAACTTCAATTTCATGCAGTAAATTGTGCAGACAATTATCTACTTATCTCCTTAGCAGGCTTTTACAGGCAGCTCTAACCTATCAGTATTGTGATAAGATGTTGTAAATGACAATGCTACACACTAAAATGCTGCAATGCATGTTTACAATCTGGTGTGCATACGTAATAAACACACATAAACTGGTTTCGCTTGACCAACCTAGCAACAATATACAAGAGGGGTGTTTGTGTATGTGGGCAACTTGTGTACCAAAGAGGTCAGTTATCACTGCTCCATCCAATTAATTACTTCTTATAATATTCTGTTACTAGAAGATAGTTTATTATCATTCACCTGATCCTTCATTGTCGATCTCAGCGATCATCTTTTTAATCTCTTCTTTCTTTGGCTCAAATCCAAGGGCTCTCATCGCAACCTACAGTTCACAATCAACGTATTAAACAGTTTCAAGCAGAGTAAACCAACACTGAGTAATAATCACCGTATGTAATCAATAATACAATACCATTTTCCATTGAGCTTGAACACTAAGAATTGTGTATTTACATTGTGAACAAGAGAAGCAAGAGAGAAACCACAAACATATTTATATAATGTATAGATGTGTATATAAATCTAAATATGTACTGATATTATCCTGGTGATACACAATATAACAGCTGCAATTTAACAGAATGACATCCTACAGTTGTCAAGAGCACTGGAATGTCACAGCAAGCTACCTTCATTTCCTTGACGTCGATTTTTCCCGTTCCATCAGTGTCAAACAGGTCAAATGCTTCTCGTATCTCCTGTTTCTGATCCTCAGTGAGTTCTGGCTTTGCCGCTGGCCGCTTTCTATGAACCCCAGAACTCATCGTTCACGTAGATCACAACCGGGTGTGCGCAATACATGCAAAAGATACCTGCAACACAGAAACACGATTTACATTATCATAATTGTCTGATCCAGATCATTTCACCTTTCTGTAGAGTATTTAAATTAACATATTTCCACTAGTAGATGGAGCCACCATGTATTACTTTATCATAGTTCCGAGTTTTTATTATATACATAGTCCTCTTCACAGAACCTTGCTGTTCTGTCTTCCATTATAGTATTGTGTAGTATGTGCAGCATGAACACATTCTATACCATAGTATAGTTTATACGTCATACGTCCCTTGTCACTGGTGCAGTGGACACCGACAAGTATGAGAACATAATTAACATAACATAACATATACTAGATAGTAGATATGGTATATGTTCATGCTCGTACAAACAGTAGTTCTACTGTGTGAGCTAGTGTGGTGACCAATTCTAATAAACATAAATAAAAAAATTAGATACTCTATGATATACTTTCAGTTTCACCCTGGGTTTACTGATCACGCTAACAGTCGTGTGATGTGCGCCTATGGCAGCAACTTGCCAAGCCCATGATGGTAAGGTTAGATATAATCTCCCATGCACCTAGCTACCACTGACTATATCGTATATATATGCTAGTAGATACAATAATGTACCCCAACAAGAGTAGGATGCATGTACATGGAGGCTATCATGGCTCTAGGGCCTGCCTAAACAATGTACTAATGTAGCCATTCGCTTTCCCACAGGCCTACAACAAAACAAAGGGTGATACGATGGTTACTAATACCTGGAACACAAATCGGTATGTCGCCATTGCATTAGCATCGCGTTGCTATGAATAACTAAACTAAATAGTTTATTAAGTTAAAAAATTAATTATTAAGTTAATTAGTTAAAAAAAAATTAAATAGCCCTGGCCAGCGGCAAGCTAGTGTACGCGGGCTATAGTTACTAGAGCTATAGTGGCCTTAGCCACAAGTTCCCTTCTCGCTTAACACTACGTTGGCGAGAGGGGGTAGAGTCCTACGCCGTGTAACAGTCGGAGAGCCTGGTCGGTTTATAGTGGCCTATGCCCGGCCTGTGTTGGGAACATAATGAGTTATGTAGGCCTATCCTGAATCCACATTCCCAGCTCAGGCAGAGATATTCACATTAATATAGTCAATACTGGACACTGTATTCTTTATAATACATGTCCAGTTCTGCACTGGCCTTCGATTCTTACGCAAACGCGATCACGTACAAGGCATTTTTTTGGTTCAAGGATAGAGAACATGGGTGCCAATAAAACCGATGTCATTTACATCAATATAAATATAATCTTATATCAATATAATAGGTTAGGGATATGGTTAGGGTTGTGGTTAGGGTTAGGGTTACCCGGTTAGGATTAGGGTTAGGGTTAGAATTAGGTGTAGGGTTAGGGTTAGGCACATTGGTTGGTTCAAGGATAGAGAACATGGGTCCCAATAAAACCAATGTCATTTACATCAATATAAATATAATATTATATCAATATAATAGGTTAGGGTTATGGTTAGGGTTAGGGTTAGGACTAGGGTTAGGGTTAGGGTTAGGGTTAAGGTTAGGGTTAGGGTTAGGCACATTGGTTTTATTGGGACCCATGTTCTCTATCCTTGGGCCCATTGGTTTTATTGGGACACATGCTCTCTATCCTTGAGCCGGCATTTTATACAGTTCATTTCAAGTCTATCTGCTAAGTACTAAACTAGGTGCATCAAACGTTTTTACCTCTAGCCCCAGGCTCTAACTCTAACTTCTAAGTATCTCTGTCTGTTTAATAAAAATTGGCATATGATGCTTACTTTGCACACCATATTGTTATCTTATTACCTTATTTCTGTGACTCACGAAATGCTTGATGTGTCCTAAATAATTGCCCAATGGTATGGCAAACTTGCGGTTTATCCACTGACTGTTATCATAGCCTATAAACAATATCGTATGTAAAATGTATCGATATTCTTAGCCTATGGCTGGAAATAATAATAACTGGAGGGTGCGTCACGTGACAAATACACTAGCCAATCATAGATTTTTTAGTCAATAGGCCTATAGTGTCGTATGCTGATCAGAAATACATTTTTATTGCTCGAAATTACCATCGGCTGTGCGTTTGGGGGATCGAACAAAAAGTTTTAGGGATATGTTAACATCTTTCACTTGTAAGTGATAAAGGTCGTAAATCGTGGTCAATCTGCTTATAATTTAGGTATGGGAACAAGCCACCTAGTGACCCTACTAGTAAATAAACACATTGATCAGGTGGGCACCGCATAAGAACAGTATACTCTCTGTAATAACCCCTGGGTTTTACTCGCTACTTCTACTTTTTTATTTTTTATATATTTATTTAGGCAATTAACCATCATGATCATATACAATACATAGCATACTTTTACAATAAAATTCTGATTTCATAAAATTATATAAATACCAAGGATATATACACAAAAAGCATGACTACAGTAAAAACCCGCGTATAAGAACATAGATTTTTCCAAGTTAGCCTCAATATATGTTCTTATATAAATGGTGCTTACTGAAAAATGAGGCTCAAAAATTAAGGTTCTTAAATAGGTTCTTAATTGTTTCTACTTTTAATATGTATAAGCTTATACTTGATTCAAATTGTGTTAAAATTTTCTTACAAGGACTGCAATTTTTGCTAATTAATACCCATGATGGGCTACACCCTGCACATAACCTCCACATGCCTCATGGGTACAGGCCGTTAACTAGATGGTTACCANATCTATCTATCTATCTATCTATCTATCTATCTATCTATCTATCTATCTATCTATCTATCTATCTATCTATCTATCTATCTATCTATCTGTATGTGCCGGTCACTCATCGTACTCATTCATGCGATCGCTGATCGCGTAAAGAAACTATACACCTATAAATGTGAAACTACTAGTTTATAGTTGAATTCAGAATAGATTGAATCTGAGAGGCTTTCATTTAACGCCTGAGTGATGGTATAGAAACTGCATATATATATATATATATATATTGCTCCGTTATAGAAAGATGGTGAGCTGAACATTGTGTGGTTATCAGCGGGTTTACGAAATAGCCTTGGCTTTCCCAGCCGCGACATGTCTGCCACTGAACGGTTTGAGCAGCAACCAAATAAAGGTTACAGTCTAAGCTACAGCAAATCTCGAAAATGACGGTTAATTATAGGCATATAACACGCGCGCGCCACCACTGATCCAGGACGTGACCTGCGAACAACAAAGACCTACAAAACGAGCTTTTCCTGGCAAAAATTGTAGCAATAACACCAGAGGGGCACTGTGATTATTTTCGATGCGATGTACGCGAAACCAGAGGCGAAACCATACATTATATTATGCGATAACGGTGCCTCCTGGCGAGCAGCCTCATTCTACCGCGTGTAGTTCATGCTATATTGACGATCATTGTGCAAGTTGAGGACATCTATATGGCGTAGGCCCATATATACGCCACACACACACACACACACACACACACACACACACACACACACACACACACACACACACACACACACACACACACACACACACACATATATATATATATTAAT